ATAGGACATCTTTATTTAGTAAAAAGCAATAAATTAAAAAGACAAAAGAACACTGAGGCTAAACGCTTTCTTTTGTCTTGTTTTAATTTATACATTTTTACTAAATTTCAAATGTTCTATTTTCTATGACAACGTTTCTGCAAGTAGGTGTACATGCATATCTTTTGGGACTCCGCTATTAAGATTTTACCTAATTTTTATATCGTATTTAAGTATTTCGTTGACAATAAAGGAGGCCGTTTTGCATTTGATTATATAATTGATTATAGAAGAAGCATGAGATATTTTTTATCAAATTTATCAATAAGTAATTCATAACCTTTATGGATTTTGAAACTYACTGGCCGATGTTTCTATTAACCCATTTTATAGCCTCCAGCTGATCAAAAAGACCGTAGTTTCCTGCAAARCCACTTGCTGAGTCACGAAGAAAACCAAAGAACCCCAAACGGTAATTGATTGAAACCAAAATGACGTTTCCATACTCTGCAAGATGGCTGTCGTCCGCCAACCTGTTCGAACCTGAGAAGAAACCGCCACCATGGATCCATATCATCACAGGGAGKGGGTGTTGGACGCTTGCAGTGCTTGGCACATAAACGTTGAGGTTCAGRCAGTCCTCACTCATATCGTCAGAACTTATCCCAAAAGGACCTTCAAATCTGGGTTGATAGCAAGCAGGACCAAACGACACACAGTCTCTTACGTCGTTCCACGGTGTCACRTTAACAGGTTTCTCAAATCGGTCTGCTTGCGCATATTTGATGCCAAGGTACTTGCTAACTATTGGATGCGCGCTTCCTCTGATGGGACCGCTTTCAATTGTGATCTCGTTGGTAAGAAAAATGCAACTGTCCGCGAAGGCAATGGTCATTGCACATGTTAGCAATAAGATMAACATGTCTTTGTGGATTTTCCTAAAATTCAATTCAGCATAATTTTATCTCGAATCATTACTGCACTAGTCAATTGAAATCACCGCCCACGCCCCACTTTGATGAATAGTTTTCGAAGCCGGGCAAAGAGCGGGGGATTTTAACTCGCGTTTAAACATCTATAATTATATGTAATAGGACTCCATGCTGTCCAATTAAGAAATAATTGGACGAGGAAAATTCCGAGGACTGCCAAAAATTGGACGAGGCCGTGGCCGAGTCCAATTTGGCAGTCAGAGGAATTTTTCGAGTCTAATTATTTCTTAATTGGACAGCATGGAGTCTTATTACCTATTAATTATATAGCCACATATTGATCACAAATAGGTAAAAGCCAACCACAGCTTTTAACAATAACAGTAATGACACCTTCATTTTTAACAAAAATTAACTTTTATTTATATCAGTAACAAATCAGTGTTACAACATTTTGTCAATAATCATACTGTACATAATTTTTAAAAATTTTTGAAAAACACAATGAAAACCTGTCCAATTAATTTCTTAATTGGACAGGATTCCAAAATTAACGAAAAATCCAGCTTTTACCTATTTGGGATTAATATGTGGCTATATAATTAGGCTGGAAACTAGACGTATACCATCTTGAGAAATACCCTGACAGCATTGGTATTTAACCCCACTTTTTTATTTGTTTAATTTTGCTTGCATGAAACATTTTTTAATAAACTTATTACACATTTTTCCTTCCAGTTAGCCTCATGTAGTACGCAAATGAGTACACAGGATTGTACAAAAATCAAACCTCCATTTTTCTCTGCCGAACTTCATTATGTCATACAAAGATAAGTTGTGAAATTCGACGTTTTGCTTTCATTCTTTTTTTCCGCAAATCACGGACTGATCAGGGACCAGAAATATATCCTTCGAAGCCAAACACAAATTGTTTCCCTGTTCTCCTTGATTATCATGGTTAGGGTTTGATATGAAAAAAAAATCATAGACGTGAGTATAACATGTTAACCTAAAAGAGCCGTTGTAATAAGAATATCAAAACTTACACTGAAATGAGAATCACCAGTTGTCAAGTCGGTGGGCGCTGACTACTGTGTGAACGCCGTCTCGATGTAAACGCTATTCAGAATATGTCAACGTACCACTGGTAAAACTATCATGAAAATTATATCATCATTGTCGCTTTCACCGTGAAATCGGCTAATTCTCGTCAGTTTGAAATGTCTCGATAGTCGGTCTTATAGCCTCGAAGAGCAGGCGCGAAGGCGATGGTCATTGCACATGTTAGCAATAAGATCCGAACATGTCTTCGACAATGGGGATGTTCCTAAAGGGAAAATTTCAAAAACAGCATCAAACCCAAGAAGGCAAGGCACTTAAAGTGTCTATGAAAACATTTTTTATTATTAATTTGTTTAAAGTTTGGAGAGAAATAGGTAAAATATCATTGGATGCAGTCTGCAAATTTGGGATATCTTGGACTTGAAAAATTGTTATGCTGATTTGGTCATATCATGAAGTTTGCCCATTCATCATCCAAAATTTATTTTTGTTTTTCACAGACAAATCTCTAAAAATTAAGAAAGGATTCACCTATCATTGAACAGCAGTCATTAATATAGACAATTAAAATTTGATAAAGCACCGACAAGATTTTTATGATGTATCAAATTTCAACCCTAAGTTTCTTTGAATTTCATTTCAGAGATATTTGGCTAAGCAAACGGCTATGTGTCATAGAAAGATAAGTTGTGACATTTGACGTTAAATTCTTTTTTCGCAAATCACGGCCTGATCAGGGACCATTTTGTTAGATATGTGAAGAAAAAGACACTTGAAATGTATCGTTCAAAACCAACTTTTATGAATTGTTTCCCTGCAAGTCACAGTTGTTCTCTTTGATTGTCATTGTTAGGGTTGTTATGAAAAAATTCATAGACATGTGTATAACATGGTAACCTAAAAGAGTTAGAATAAAAATATCAAAACTTACCCTTTAAATGAGAATCACCAGTTGTCTACTGTGTGTCTTGCTGATGACTACTTTGTGAACGTCTCGATGTAAACGCTATTCAGAACATGTCAACTACCACCAGTAAAACTATCATGAAAATTATATCATCATTGTCGCTTTTCACTCACACGATATTGACCGTGAAATCAGCTAATTCTCGTCAGTTTCAAATGTCTCGATAGTCGGTCTTATATATATAACCTCGAAGAGCAGGCGCGTATAGCACCCCCTTAATGCTCTCACACTTCTTCGCGGTCAGTAGCTCCCATTTGCATATACTAGCCAAAAAAGCCACGCTATCCGCGCCTCAGAAGAAATGGGATAGTCGACCATCTCGACACGAATGGACGTTTGCCGGGGCGGCTATCGTTGCGAAAACGCATCCTGATAKGAGGAGTACCATKAGAGTTTCCTGGTTATCAACTGGACGTACCCATGCAAAGCTTAACCATGAATTTCCATTTGGCGGGGTGTCAGAGGCACGAGCAGGAGCCCAGGAAATGCTGAATTACGCAATAAGCTTTATTTTATCAAGAATTGAATAAATAAATACGATCACATTATATAGAATCGTTTTCACTGATGATAATGAAAGATTAGTGATGCAATAGAATATCTTGTTTTCCTTGTTCTATACCAATTACTAAAAAATCTTTTTTTATTGCAGAGCCAAATAAAAATKACTCTGATCTCAAGTATTGATTTTTTGAGTCCTTCCGATAGACTTTTGAAGCTTTTACGTCATATAGGGCGTTTACGCAATGCATTGCAGGTTATAATATTTGGGATAAAATTTGGCGGATTTAGTTTGTTTTCTCCAAGTCCATAATGCATCGCCGAGCCTCTCCTTTTACCGGGTTTCCTGATAGACTACGTCACATATCGTTTGATTGAYTAACGAAATTATACATACTGAGACCGAACAGGCTCAATGGATATGATTACGACTACAAAGCAGCATTGAAGTTATAGACAATTTTATATGATTCTATATACAACTAAAACATATATAAGAAAGTAATTATTTGAGGAAACYAACTTGGTCATGCACAAAACACCGTTTGGAATCTTCAAAATCTAATCATACTTGGTGGTAGGGTTACAGTGGTGCAAAAACATCTTTTCTTGTTGTATATTAATATATTCATTTTTCAGAAAAATGGGACACAATCTTAATAAGAATTGCTCTATACTGACTAGTCTATTGCTCATTCTTCGAATCAGTCTGTGCACTTCAGTAGAATATCTACAAGCAAACATTTTCATTACATATTCATGTAGAACAGGTGTGCATAAGCGAATGTCAAAGACTCATTAATTTGAACGATTATTATGGGAACCATGTCTAGACATTCTATCACTTTATGTACTGAAAAAATGCATTTGCCGAAAAACTTGACATGACAGGGTTTTTTTTCTAAATTGCTGAAACCTTTTAATACTAAAAGGGCTTTAGTAGATAACTCCTTTATTGCCGTAGCGCATATATAACTCCTACGAGCACTTTAAGAAGACGACTAAAACAATTACCCAAAGCCCTGTCATAGCTCCGTCGACATTCAAGCAGTTACATCAGGTGAGTTTAAAGTATATCATTTTATTTAGCGATTAATGCTTCTTTTTCCCTGATTTGCTTAAAATACTGTCAGCACCAAGACCAATGAAGACGCATACGACTCCAATCCACTGTCTTCCAGTCAACACGTTGCCAAACAAAATAACGGAGCCAAGGATTGTGAAGAACTTTCTTGTCGTGGTGATGATAGAACATGATAGAGGACCGAAATTTGCCACCGTCATGAAGATGAAATTCTGAAAAGAGAGAACTGGATTAAGTCTGAATGGATGAAGAGATGGGTGGGGCAGTTGAAGGCCTCCCATGATGCATTGTTCTAGAAAATGGATCCTGGGAACCTTGCTCAATAATATATAAAATCAAAAACAAAAAGGTTTTTGATTAAGATATTTAATCATAAAAATATACAATGAAATGTAGAGGTATATCTTAACCACCATAAATCTCATTTTATATTTTATACAGATATTTATGAAAAAAGTGATCGACAGCAAAGTACTTATATCTCATCAAGTCACACACAAGTTGAAATATGCCAATAGTTGTACTTTCACAAAATCTGAGTCCTGGCATCCTGCATCTCATTAGGTACAACTCATCATAAATGTGCCTAAGTATTTTAATACTTTATTTCAACAAACGTTTTGTAATTTGCTGTATATCATACATATTAATGATTGGGGATTCGATTTTCCTTTATAAATCATCAAGCACTTTCGTCCGTTGATTTGATTTTTGGTAACAGATGCTGTGATTTGGATGAAACTTCGATGGCAGCTCTCAGTGTTTCCATAGTAACGGTGCCAACCAACTTACGGGTCTCTGAAAAAACTGAGTTCTCAATTCATATCTTTTGAAATTGGGCAGGTCTTCATGTGAAGATAACGGCAGCACAATTTTCCATTGTTCAATAGAAAGTGYAATTTCTCTATGCTTGAAAAAAGGAAGGTGTCCAAAAAATGACTGCATGAGAATCCACCTTAAAAAATTATATTTTCTATTTTCCTTGATGCGGTGGTCATTATTCAGAAAAGACGAAAGACGCTTATTGTTTTTTTTTTCCTAGAATCTATGTCATTAGGCCACCTCTGATAAGCTAGTGCCCAACCGACATCCTCATTTTCTAATCTATGGCGGGAAATCATTTACTCAGCTGAKCTACATCATGACGTTCTGAAACTGTGTCATTGTACCATTTCAACCAATCGAGCATCGAACTCGACTTTTGGTCTAATTTTTCTACCTTGAAAAATCGGAAACACAGGATTAAAAGGAATTATTAATATCAAGAACAAGGTAAACCCCTACAAAGTCAAAACTGAAGTGGAATCAGTATACCGAACATGGTAAGAAGTCCAAAATGTGCAAAATATACAATCATAAATTGATTAAAAAATTACAAAATTAATTTGCATGCTAATACGATAAGACGAYTCGACACCGTTGAAGGGATGCGCGATAAGTCAACAAAACAGATTTTAAAGATATCTTATCACCAACTCTGCTTGCTTTGAAAAATCAAAATCAAACACACTTTGTGTATCTGAATCAAGTTAACTTGCCTTTCAAAATCGAGGATAAAGACTTTAATATTAATACGCAATAGCTTTGCYAAAAACAGAAAGAAGACTGCGSAATTTAAAGGTATGTGAACTGCGTTTTCCAGCAGTAAGCATCCAGCCATAAAAATCATTATGTTTGGACGAACTAGAATTCTCCATTTGAGTTGCCAMCTGATTCGSTTGACAAGAAGCTGTCATACTAGTCAAATACTAAGAATTTTTCACTGCATTGAAATCCTAATAAGTTGTGAGCCGAGAAAAGGTATTGTGCTTGCATTCTATGGCTAGAAGAAGGTCGTTTYTCTCTCGYTCTGGGGCCTTTTCCTGTTTTCTTTCGATTGGTTTTCATTCCTATTTCTTTCTATTTATTTTCTTTTCCCATGCAGTTTTCGTTGTTTTCATTTCATTTCTCACAAATGGCAGGTGTTGTTTTTGTATTTCTTTTACCAAATCTTTCAAATTCTGTATTGTAAATAGCGATGGTAATATGTACAATAAACGCATGTAAAATAGCACGCTAGAAAAGATATATAAAAAAAAACAATAGATGTCGCGCAAGCTGCACTGAATTAGATTRGAAAAAATAAACTAGTTAACCTAACATCGCTCAAAAACTTAGYAAGAGACTTTATCTGCATGGGTCTTAATGCAAAGTGACCATATTGGCACTGAATTTCAATACAAGCCATGCAGCTCTGCGGTTAGTGCATCCTGCCGGGATCATGTGATGTTGACTTGTATTTTGTATTATTTTCAAGTCGACCGTATCCCGTCAAGTGGACTTTCTATGAAAAACCAAGGCCAGCCCTAAACATCTGTATCAATGTATTTTAAATTTTATATCTTATTGAAAGAAAAAAACGAATATTATTATACTGCATTTAAAGCAAAGCCCCAACGTTTTCTTTTATTTATCGAAATATCAAAATGTTCCAGAAAATGTTTCCTACGATGACATTTTGGGGCCACGACGACTGCTAAGCGCTTTTCCAAGTCAAAGTCTCTACCAGTCCTAGAAAAATGTGTTTCCTTTTATTGCAAATGTGTGTGAACCAGACTAGTGTTTGAAGTGCTGGATAAAAGCACTTTAAAATAAGACTTAACGTAAGACTTTCAGTGAAGATGAAATCAAAACGTCACAAAATGAGGGAGAGAAAACTGAAAAAAAAACTCTCACACAATCAAATGATACTTAGTCTGTGACGTTGACGCGACGTGAACTTTCACTCAAGGCACACATTTATGATTAAAATTTTAGTATTATAATAAACATTATTATCAAGCAGAGTTTAAGACCTCATAAAGTTTCACAAACTGACAGATGCAGACGCAAATACTTTGAGATCCGAAACAGGTGCATCTAATYTCGAGCTCTGATAAAGCGTTAACAAATCTAATGTACCATTGAAAATACAGCCCAAAGAAAGGCTAGACAGCATTGGAAAACGACCGAAAAAGTTAGTTTACTCTTAAAAAGCGAATGACGGACTTTGATGGACTTGGAAAAGTATTGGTAAACAGGAATACCACACTGTCAGCCTGAAGTGTTGGTTTTTACTCTAAAAGAGATGGATTCAGACGAAGGTAGCTTAGCTTAGGACAACAAAACAGAGACTTTTCGTGCAATTCAATAGTCAATATTTTACTTCGATAAATAATCGGACACAGCATYRACAATTTGGTCGAGAAAGGCACTGAAGTAAACAGAGAATATTGAAAATTTATTATCTCCCAAAGAAGGACATTGTATCTTTATTCGTAGTAGAAGAATTTCAGTATAAATCGTGACTTTTTTGATGAATTTTCATAACGAGAAGTGGAATTGTTAAATTGTCATGTTTTTCGACATTTCGATGCTATTTCCACACCATTAAAGCCGACTAACTAAGAACATACAATGACAGTGTTTAATATTGTGATTTGAAGAACTTGACTTTTTAAATGACTTAAATCACATTTGTCGACCGACCATTGTTCCTATTCGCTGTTATTTAAAACTAATAATTTTTTGCCTCTTTTGATTGGCAACAATTCAGGAAATCAAGCAAGGTTTATTTACCCACAATGAATCTGTTAATGGAACATCCTMAGAATAAACCAAACCATCTTTGTTAGGGATAACAGAACAGCTTTCGCGTGCATAAAACGTTTCGAAAAGCCAAACCGAGGTAAGTTAAGTCAACTTAGAGAATATCTTTTTCACACGCAAAAACCTACTATTCTACAGGCAAAAGGTTTATTCCTAAAAATCTTGTTAGAATTTTTACAAATGAAAAATCGGCTGTTTTGATACTAATTAGGATATTTTTCCCGCACGGGTCAAAAGGCAAAAAAAAACGTCTTGAGTGTGCATTTAGTGAGGTATTTTCTATTTTTTATAACGATTTTATTATATGGGTATATTCCGCCATCTAATAGCGATTGTTGAGACTGTTTTTAGCTTGGTTGTTTTGCTGTGCTCGCTTTAATTAAAGCTTTCCGACAAAGGATATTTAAAAGACCATAAAATCAATATATGAAAAGCGAMATATACCTCCATAACATGGAAATGTTTGAAACTGTTGTAATAACAACAATGAAACAAAGGTTTTGCGTTGTACATATGCAAGTGATTCCAGAACAAGTTAATTAAAATAATCAGATTATATTCCAAACCAAGTGAAACGCCTGCCTTGACACTCCGAAAGCGAGCCGTTGTCAAATATCTTCAGTGTTTGAGCTTATGCGCCTCTTTTTCTAATACCAGAGCTTAAGCTTTTCAAGCAAGTCATAAAAAATCGAATTACTATACCTGACTTGTCAAAGCAAGTGCTGTTCAATAGCAAAACGCTCTATTCGACGCTTGACATACGCGTGAAAAAACAACGGAAGCTTCTTTAGTTTTGATTAATTATAGCGCAAGTTCAACTCGCTGTAAGCAGACATTAGAGAAGCGATGYGTAGGATAATTACATCAAGAGAAGATGGATGGCAGCTTTTCAGGGGGTAATTGAACAGTATTACTTATTATATTTTGAACATTCATCTCACAGCAACACGGCAATAAGAATTCGAGTGAAGTAATCTTTTTTCATCGTAACCGAAAAGGAAAAACATTATCTCAAACAAAAAAAATCTACTGGCTTCAAGCTTAAACCTTTCTAGCAGTGGTCGCTTTTTGAGCTGATTTACGTTTCTTTCCCTTGAGGGCGGAGACGCCATAACGGATTGCTGTCGAGAAGATTKAAATTAAATGTTTACCGATGTTTGAAACATCGGTTCTCTTGAAACTAAAGCATTTTCAATTCTTGTCCGCCGTTCTGGAGACGCAAGAGGCATTTGATGATAAGAATGAAACGTRCTTCGTCAGAAAACAAAAGAACATAAAGAGCTATTTTGTACAAGATGAATCTTATGTGTCACCATTGACATTATGAATCTAATCTCGACTGCATCAAATCTATGAAAAAACGTTCAACATTCCTAAGTGTCAGTACATTCTCGAGACAGATTATTGCGAGGTGAATAACTCAAGAAAGGGCGGATCCAGGAGGGGAGGGGAGGGGAGGGGAAATCAGGGTGACTTGTTACCTACCCCTCCCCCCTCCCCTCTCTTTTTAGACCCCTCTTTTTTGAGGAAATTATATGATATATATATAAATATAAGAAAAAAACAAATCTGAATGTGACTTATTTTGAAAAACAACGAAAAGCAGCTTTTATTCGAAAGGAATTTTTCATTTCCGACAGTACTAAATCTATTCCATATATTTAATTCAACATTTGCAGCATGAATTCTTATCTATCATTTACTTGAAGAATTACTTGTCGAGTTCCTTTTTAACCAAATCACTAATATTTCACTTACCATGACAACTGTTTGAAAGATGGTCATGACAATGGCATCAACAAAACCACTAACTGTAATTAATAGTTGWTTTTTTAAACCAATTGCCCATAAATAATATGGTAAAGAATACGATGATCTCAATTGTCACGACAACGAAAACAAAAGAGAAAAAGACAAAAGAGTAAAAGGAAATCGATTCATTTTGTCATTAGAAACTCATTTCTATTTTTTTTCTAACTTTGATCACTGATGGTAAATCAATACTTCAAACAAACTAAGATTTGAAATCATGATCTGAAGAAAAAAAGGGCTGAAATCATATTATCCTTAACACTGCAAAAGAAAATAAGTGCTTAAAAATATAAATTGCCGGAATGAAATTCCCAAGCTTTTCACATTGATAGACTAATGACGTAAAATTCRTGTCGTAAACGGCGCACAATTAATTTTCGCCACAAATTACGTTGATGAATTTGTGTATTTTAGGAAACATATTGGACACATGAGCTACGCACTTCAGATTCTTAAAAGCCCTCACAAATCGGTGCGCTCTTTTATCATAGTTTGACAATGCGAAGAGTTGATTTGRGGTTTAGTCATTGAATAATCGCATCCACTACCATTTTATCAGCAAATTTTCATATACTGARAGTCATTACTTAATTGGCCATACCAAATAACGCAGGAATGATATCAAACAATCTGTTACCAGCCTAGGGGGCATAATATAGTTAATTAGGGCTTGTAGGAGGCCAGAAAGTTTAGCTATTCAAAAAGTTTTTGATGAGTGATGTCTAGGATAGAGTGGCACGAATTCAGCGTTAGGAGCATTTTTGTCATGGTAACATACATGTGAGTTATGAATGCTATTGGTTTTGTTGTTGTCATGAAATGTTACTTTGCTTCTTATAGTTTGTCGTTGATTCTTATTTTGTACAATTATACTGTCATACAATATCCCTTTTTAATGCGCAATAACCTTCAGAGATATTGAAGTATTCTTGAGCCGTCCTTGAGGCATCTCAACGCTAATTAGCTTCRTTTAGTTTATTGACCACACAACAAGTCACATAAATAAACCATACCAACAACCTCCGTTACATGAAAAGCAATATTGCTGTACAACAACTTGGTTGATTGCTTTACAAGCATTGCTGGGAACACAGACAAAAGGCATTCTGGGTAGCAAGCCAAACACCGACAATACAATCCAAAAAGCAAAACACAAGCGAAGTTAGCAAGCCATATTAGACTGATAGGATTCATTTAGCACCCGAAATGATTCCAACAGTTCAGTAATTTCCTATCATTCGTTTAGTACACCGGCACTTAGCTCAAATCTTTAGTGGTTTTTAAATCAATTAAGATTAGGAAGTGACAAGGTACCAAGCTATTGTATTTCCATAGWTTGGGCCTTTATTTATCGCCCCATATCATTAGAATCATTTCTACACCAGTTGACCAACTGAGCTTCTGGTTTTAGGGCATCGAAAMATCTAGTAAATATTTAGCATGCTACACCTCCACCGGWAGAAAAAGAYCTAGAGTTAGAATTCAACAAAGWCGATAGTCAGAAAAMGTTCTGTGRTTATTTTTTCAGGAAGCAAGAATGAACAACACGACTACAAAGCCSTCTATTCCCGCAGATACAAGTGGTTTGGCTATATGGGCGACTGTGTACGGTGGTGTTGCAGTGGCTGTTGTTGTAGGAAATTCCATTATCATCACTGCGTTTTGCGTGAACAAAAAACTTCTTCATACACGAACAAACTACTTCTTGGTGAGTCTGGCGGTGGCAGACCTTCTCGTTGGTTCATTCTCAATTCCTATGTACGTTTACGACATTTATGCTTATTTACAACAAGCGTCGAAYMGACTTCACGACATCTACCCCTCCATCGATATCTTCACAGCTTTCGCTTCAATATTCGCACTGGTTTTAGTAGCACTCGAGAGAGCGTACTCAGTAAGCTATCCTCATAAGCACCGACTTGTCAACCGGAGGATTTACTTTATTCTTATTCTATGTGTTTGGATTATGGCCTCGTGGCTTGGTGCTTTRAACTTCTTCGGCGCTTACAAGTTAAAGTACACCAAGAAGAAAACAATCAAAGATGTGTTTATATACATCATGATGGTTTTTATTTTMGTCTCGCTCATTCTTATAACCACCGCGTACAGCACAATATGGCGACGGGTGAGAGCACCAGCGCAYTCCCTGCACAAATCRCGYTCTCTACAAGAAAATCGACTGGCAAAGACTTTGATCATTGTGACATGCGTGTTCTTTTTGTGCTGGCTACCATTTTACACCATAAGCATYGTGATATTCTACTGTCCACTTTGCTACCATATACAAGTTGTTTACTTTTGCAAGTTACTGCAATAYAGCAACTCATTGGCCAATGTMCTGATTTATACTCTTAGAATACGTGATTTTAGACACACGGTYTTTCGTCTGTTTCGTCGAGACAAACGACCACTGTCACTACCCAGTCTCCCGACCCCCAAACACGAAGTTGCAATTGACGGTAACATTTATCATGAATACCATACGGCAAATGAAGTACATTTGATGCATATTGCKGATATTGACTCAAGCTCGCCCAAAGAACAAGACTTGCTAAAAGTCGCGGAAAATCCGTCGGACCCACTTGGTCCTAAATCCAGCAAACGAAAACAGTACTTCACGAGTTATAGCGTGTAACAAAGAAGAATGAAAGACTTTCAGTTTCRTAGATTTAGGAAACGTCTTTTAATAAGTAGAACATTTTCTGGTTGAAAAGGGACTGAGAAGAGTTGATAAATGTTAACAGATTGGCAGCCTTAAGCACCCAGGGAACGATAGTCAGTGATATAGTGAAAGACGTATCTAATCCCGGCAGCGCGGTTATCCTAGTAGGAGCCGCCACAATTAGTGACAGAAGGGCTCACTCAGGAGAGCTTTCTTGAAATGTTGTTTTACATAAGAGTTAGACCCTTAAGCTAGYACACCTAATCTAAATACATATATGACCACGTGGAGTCAATTGCTTCGAGCTATTATAGGAAATAGTCCTGTCTATACAATAAAACGCTTCAAGCTTATTTCAAAATTCATCGGCTACATCAAAAACWAGCGGCTTTTTTCCAACAAAATGAGATTAAAAAATGGACACTCAGGATGTTTTTGGAAATGTTATGTTAGAGAAATTGCRAAACTTTTATCCGTTGTCCGTTATAAATCAGCGTTATAAAACCGCTATCTATGTCGAAAAATGGCAGACCTTGCGGTCAAATAAACAGTGGAAAAAAAGAAAGAAAAAAGAAAAAAACATAGAAAAAAAAAATAGAAAAAAGTTTCCTTCAGTAGAGGGTAAYAAAAAAATGTAGCGAAACGCGAACTCTATTGCTAGTGCTTCCGGACTTATCTCAAGAACGAAAAAGCGTTTTGYCTCAGCTGTAAGATTAAGACGCGAGGTATACAACTCTCTCAAAACAGGTAGTCGTTGAATATGTACTTGACAAACTGACAAGAAGCACTAGAGATTGCATAATGTAACTATACACTACTGAGCTTTCTTTCCGTCTTGCAATTTCCATTTACGCCCCGCGGCTCAGACACAATCTACCATCTTTCCTAAAATACCTATATATCAAAATCAAATGGTTATCTGAAACTTCTTTTCCGTACCGATTGACTGTTTCTTGTGTATATGATCTACATCGTGATAAAATAAAGGTCATGTGACCGTAATACGACAATGTTGACTGGCTTTTATCATAAATAATGCATGATTTTACTAGAGTACTTGGGGCTGTTATCATTATTGAACCAGCCCTCCTGGCTAAACTCCCGCAATGCTTAGTCTTTCTAGTGTGTTATTATATCCGGACTTTTATCTTCGCATAAGAAAAAACCGACTTAAAAAGTCAAAATCCCGGATGCCGCACTGGCTTACTCATTCCAATGTACGTCATATGGGGTGAAACAACATGGCAGTTTTTTGGTCAATAACAGGAAAGTAACTTAAGTTTCAGAATTATAGAATATAATCACTAATAATAGTGTAAGGTAGAAATAAGCTGGTTTATGTAGTAAACTACAAAATACGCCTACGAAGTAGATTGACAGTGTGACAATCTGACGCACATGGATGTAAATTTACTCAATTTTGAATATGAAAATATAGTCAAGAATAGTAATACACTATCATATCATTATCTATAAAATACCTATATTCCTCCATTACGTAAAGTTGTTATTTTCACTATTAAAAATAACACATTCGAGGTTCCTCTATATAGTGTAAGTAAGAAAAAAAGGTATTTTACGACATAATTTGCTTTCATTGATAATCATATGATAAACAGAATATTACATAGGCACTTGGAGATACGAATTTTATCTTCTCGTTACGCTCACTCGTGAGAGATCTTTTCAACACTCGTAGATAAAATCCGTATCTTCGCGCGCCCATGTAATATTCTCTATATAAGTTATCACTTCGCAATTCAATTCTACAATCGATGTAAGTCTCAGTGTCAAAAATTAGCTGTGACTGTTTAAGTAGTAGTCGATGTATTTTGGATCCAAAAACAAACGTTTTTTTTTGTTTCAGTTTAAATTTTTTTCCACTTATACACGCCCACGACAGAGGTAAAACCTGAAGTCTTTTCGGAATAGTCTCGGATATCATACAAGAGTATGTCTATCTTTAAATTACCAGCCTAAAAATACGAGCAAATGAGAGACTTCCATASGTACGTTTGTCAACAATAAGCTAGCTCAACTAAAAACAGTACTGATACAGCTKTTTTGACCTTTCCTGGGCCTCGAAAGCACGGATGTCTGCTTGCAGCTTCTTTAGCCCTCCATGTCAAGAGACGTCATAAACACATGCTCAAATCCCACATGGCTCAGTGTGTCTCATTTCGTAGAATACTATCAGGTCATTAATATATCAAGCTGTTGAGCTACAGTAAGGGCTAGATTACCTATTGAGTCGATTGAGCTCTTATTTTCTAACACGAGTCAAAGTTGTCTAAGTACTCGCGCTGGCAGAGTCGTTGCAGTCTTCAGCTACAGCACATGCTCTTTTATATGAAGTAGMGTCATTTTATTTTGCGTGTCTTTTGCGTGTGCTAATTTCTTGTTTTTAGAAGTAATTGGGATTTTAATGCATGAAGCTTGGCCAATATTACCCTTTGAATTTGGATTTACGTTTGCCTACGGGAAATACTTAAAACACTTTTGTCATTGCGTTAAGAAAGAGTGAGTTTTTCCTGTGGCACCGTTCTGAGATGGTAATGGTTGTCACAAAATGGTCGAAATACATAGAATGCTTTTGACGATAAGAAAGCGCTTTGGTAAAGCATTCTAGTTATTCACCTTTCATAATCTTTAGGAAAACACGACGTTTAAAAGAAAGTTCTTACGTATCGCAGTACTCACCTGACCAATAGCACTKGCACAACTAAACGTAAGCATGTACGCTAAAACGTACGGGTATTTTTCACAAAACGTAACAAACGCAAAGAGTTCTCCTGTTGTAACTATACCTGTGGACGGAAAAACAACAATGAAAAAAAAAATCATCGCGGTTTATACTGGACATGAGTCAACTAACAGGTCAACGCCACAAAATTAAACGCAGGCAACCCAACACACGTAACTTTGCGAGAATCGGCACAGGTAACCCAAAATTTAACTTACTCAATCCTAAGATTCCTATTGACCATAAGTTCATGTTAAACATCATATGATGAGATTGCACATGGTGTTCGCCCCTCATACGATCCTGTATTGCGCCAGTTAGACCATCACATGTTAAAGATACTAGCTGAAAAATAACAATTAGAAAAACCATTTTATTACAAATTTATCCCTGTGTTAATTAAACACATTCTGAAACATATTGAAAATATGTTTAAATATCATGACTAATAATGATTTCTTACAATGAAGAGATGTGGTTTGCTATGCCTTGTGTAMTAATAATAATAATTTTGGAAATACTTCTTATAAGCCATTAGATAAGTTTAATTCCAGAMGTTTCRCCTTTTCAGGCTTCTTCAGTGTATTACAGTTCTTTTATTTCCAAAATTATTATTATTATTTCTAACAATATCAAGATAATGTAAATCAGAGTATACATGTAGACTCACCAGTAATAGTTCACCAAATGCAATGGAGAACATACCACCACCTTGGGCTGCTGATGGTTTCTAAAATAAAAGAKTATTTTAACCGAGAAAATGYATTTTTAAACTTCATAGAGGTGATTATGACCAATCTCTGARGTCTTTATAAAMAGATTGACCACTAAAAGGGACCCCCAAAAATGTCCCTTGATATGAAGCTCAGTGATGTTTACATGATATCTTGATATCCTATACTTACTTCTTTATACATAAACAAGGCTACTCCTGCTACAATGAGAAAAACACAGAGATATTTGACAAGTGGGTATCGCTTTCTTGCTAAAAGAACTCCAAGAATCATAACTGAAAAAAAGAATAATAATTAATTAATTAATAATTAATWAATTAATTTGATAAAACATTTTGATTCTAGCACAGTTGAATCTCCCATAAGTGAAGTCTCCTTCTCACCTGTTTTTATTTTGGGATTCCTGTCTTCCTTGAGTATGGGGACAGGAATCCCACAACGAAAACAGGTGCAAAAGAGACTACCATAATTAAGTGGACACCCCCAAGAATTTGAATAAGAGCCTATTAGAAAGCTTTCCCTAATAAGACCTTAGAGGTTAAACTGTGTGCATGAAAACTAGCAAGGTAAATTTTAAACTACCTGGAATTGGTTTACATGATTTTCCAAGAACCTGCAAATAAAAAGTTAAAAAAATGTAAAAATATTCCCTAAAGATGCAAAAGGGGCCCAAGTTCAAGCCTGCAATAAACACATACTCCACATATGGGTACATGTATGTACTGACACTAGACTTCTTTCAGGGATCTTTAGTGTGTTAATCAAGTCAATGAAGGGAACTTCTCCCCTACTGTAGACCCCAGTGAGAACTATAATGATCTATCTTCAGCAGTTTGTAGACTTCATGAATGGACAACTTACTTGTGTAGGATAACTGACCCACTGTAAAGCTTTATTACTAGCTAACATAGCACTTAAATAGGTGAATGCGCAAGCACCATACCACAGCATAGGTGTGCTATCTCTTTTTTCTTCATTTGTATATGTGAGCTTGACAACTAGTAATTAAAAAATATCATAGATTTTGAGAAATTATATATTAGTCATCATCATAATGAAATTTCTTACCTGCTTTTGCAAAGAGTGCATTTACTATGCACTGAACAAATACAAGGGTAAGTGCAAATACAAACTTTTCTTTGTTTTCCCCATATGGAGCTCTTGTGCTAATGATGAAATTTCAAATAAATTAATCAATGAATTAAGTAAAAATATTAGTTTTAAAGCTTAACCAGCTTGTAAATAATTACAGGAAAAGAAATAATAGCAATTCCAGTTTGTACTTGTATTTAGTAACAATCAATGTCTTTGACAGCAGCACTTTTAAAGTAGTGACAATGAGATTATAGTTTTTTATTGATGTTGTATATGATGCTGATACATAACCAAATTGTGTAATCAGCATCATGAAATGTTGTATACTGACAGATTTCACTGACACAAATAGTAAAACTTCTATCGAATGACAGAAATCTTACTAGTACATATTTGTAAATCATTTGTCACCGATGATCGCGTAAGAAACCGCAGGCAACAACGACAAACTTTCCTTTGTAAAATAACTTCAAAATTCAATGWTTCACGTTATAATCCGTTTTAAGATATCAACAAAAATCGGTTTTAAATCATAAGAATTTGTACCGGTTCACTTACATTTTTTCTTGGATTATTCCATAGTAAAAATACGACACAAAGATGCCCAAAAAACAAATCAAAAACTTGAATCGATGTGTAAAAGAAGTAGAAGTCATGTCTTTCGTTATAGGTTCTTTTCCAGTGTCTATTTTCACAGTAATCATAAGAAAAATAATATAGTTTTGAAGTCGTTCTTTCTTTTCGTTTCGCGTGGTATGCTTTGATTGGAGAAAGACGTAATATCTACCCATGTGACCGGAAGTTAAGGGGATGCCTTGACGAAACGCCGCTGACCTCAGCAACTCGTTCCGGAAGTTGGCTAGAACGGGACAAAACTACATTTCACCACACTCTATATTCATTTCATTTATAAATATTTATTTATAAAAAGATATATTTACAATGTATCTTCACAGCTATCCCTGTTGTTGGACTTCCTGRTTTTCCAGGAAGCTCAGCAAAAGATATGGCTGCACAAAAGACTATGYCAGTTTTGATTCTTTCTGAATTATCAATTCGATTTCCCCTTTTTCTTTTCGCTTCTCCTTCAGTAATCCTGAAAGAAAAAGATACTTGAATAAGAATAAAATTGAGAAATAAATGTCAATATTTTTGATGAATGTTTAAAAATCTTTTTCACATAGCCTATGCTATTGTATATAAATATTCAAAAGRYWGATTAMATAAATCTTACYTTCATATTCCATAATTGTCTGTTCMTTGTTTTGAGACAGAAAAAATATATTTCCTCCACTTTTCTTAGTATAAATACTCTGAAATCAACAGTTAGCAAAATAACACTTTATATATTTACTAGTATACCGTACATAAATACCATAAGATCATTGGATATCCATATAATGTCCACATATATATTTCAAGATTTACTACTTACAGAGGTTTTTCTGAGAGATTCAAGTTCAGATTTGATAACTTCTAATTCTTGAACCTAAAAAAAACGAAAAACATGAGGAAAATATGATAATCAAAAATTTCAAGCTTGCAGCAATGTAACTGAATTCATTACCTCCTTTATAATCGTATCATATTTACGGTATAACATTTCTAAACTTGAATTTTCTCCGGATTCAGATGCTGCATGATATTCCGCCATTTTGAAACGTTCYCTGACACAGGAATCCCACCTGACCTTATAATAACAACAGGAATCCCAAACCAACCCAAGTGTCAGGAAGATCAATCACATTGTTCATTGGTGGGATTTAAAAAATATTTGAAGACTGGTCCTTTASAAAGAAATGGATTAGACTTTATATGATGGTTTATAAGAACAAACTGCAAGCTGATSATTCACATTTGACTTTTATTTTCAAAATTAGGGTAGGTTTCACAAACTTTATTTTTGAATTCTATACAATGAGGCAGTTAATCATTTAGCAAACAACTCCTAACTCCTCCAATGTTTTCTTGGATAATTTCTTGACTTGTTCCATATTTCTATGTAAGGAGGGCATCACTCAGGTTAGTGAATTCAGACATTCTGTTCATCCAGCAAATTTAATATAGAATTCTACTTACAGTTCAGCATACGAATCATTGGCATCAATTTGTTGTTGCTCTAGCTGTTGAAATATTTGTAGTCCACAAGACTTGAGGTTGTCCACTTTGGAGTTAACTTTGTTTGAATAAAAAAATCAGCAGTTAACAAAAGAAAACAATATAAAATTTGATCAAAACAGCCATCATCATCATCATCATTAYATTGTGCCCTACCCACCATTGACAATTGCAGATAGCATCAATTGCGCAGAAGAAAGCAGCTGCTTATCTTCCACAGCACCAGAAATGACGCACTGCTCCAATTCCTCYACAAATGACCTAGATAAACAACAATAACATTTGTCTTACTACTATAAGAATTACACTTTTAGTTACTTGTAGTGACAAAAAATATCAAAAAGTACCTTAAAAGAACTTTAGACTTGGTTAAAATCCCAAGAATAAAAGCTGATAGTTGAGGAAGGTCTGAGGTGGTTGGCATATCAGTGAAATCCAAAGTCTAAAGAGACAGAAATACATGATTGTACAGTTACATGTAATTACACCATTTCAGTACCGAATTAATGTACATCTATCAGAATTATRGCTTCAAGTACATTATGACAACGTTTACTTTTATCAACAATATGACTTACTTTTGTTGTAAGTTCAGCAAGACAGGCAGCCATAGTTRATGCCATAATTTGAGGCTTTTCAGTGATTAAGGAGAGAACAGTTTGCTTCTTGCATTCATAAGCTTTTAGTACTTCAGCAAGTGGAGATTTGATATTAAGAAGAACCTGTTTATACATAATATTCCTAATTAATTAATTATTATTATTACTTAATAAACTGAAAATATATATCTTATTTCCTTGATATAAGTTACTTTATAAGTATTTGGTCTATACCTGTGTTAAGTTATCCTCATTGCCATTGCTTGAAATTGCTCTTAAAATATCAGTGAGCATAACTTGTGTRTAATCTGTTATAGTTTCTCCACATTCTTCAACTAGATGAAAGAAGAAATAACTAAATGAATAGATGAGAATGGGATGAGAATAAAATAATGGATTGTTGCAAAACAATTATGCAGCGTCATTAGCCTGGGTAGCGTATACAGTGTTATTTGATATTTGAAAGATGGAACTTACCATCCTGAAAGAGCATTCTTTGCGTCATCTGATACATTAGTTGAGAAAGTTGTGGTAAGAATTGGAGGCCCACAGCACCTGAAATTCAACAAATTCCTCTTTTTATAGAAATTCAAATGAACAACTATTTTATCAAGATATACTTGCATACCTAATTGGGTTATCGATTTAGTTACAGAAGTAGCTTGAGCACAAAACTGTTCATTGGCCATCCCAAGTTTTAGAAGCTCGCTGCTACAAGACAAAATAACCTGCACGGGGAAAATTGTTTTGAGTACTAAAACTGTACATTTAATGTACTATCAGTTGGAACCAAACACTGTAAAYGAAATCATGTCAACTTAAAAATAAAGGTTYTATTTTCTAKTAATCATCACCTCTAAAATGTCTTGAGTGCAATTTTGGTCTGCTGTCTCTTCTCTCACTCTTTTCCCATTTTCAGAAGTTTCAGAATCGTCACTGTTATTGAACAAACCATAACATATAAATATGTCAATATTKACAGTCTAATTCTTCTTCATTATCAAACCTTTTATAGATATCTAGTCTTGGTAACAAAATATTCTTGGCCCAAAGGAGTAATTCAGTCATTTCGTCTGAAGCCTTGAAGCTCTTAAAAAAATAAAAGATTWATAAGAATTGAAAGGACTTTGTTAAGTCAATCAGAAAAGCTATCATACATGTACATGTTAATTGAAAAGAAATCATCATTAAGTTTCAATAATTTGATATTACCTTGTTGTCAAGATGCATTTGCAGATGACAGAACAACCTCAAAGCTTTTGGATACAATTCTTTGGCTTCMGTTTGATTTTTTAGCCTTTTATTGGTGGCCATCACAGCCATGGACTCAACAAGTGTCTTATAAAGAAAGTATAAATATTAACTACAGTACAATACTAACTTACAAAGTTTCCACATATCTAATGCATTTATTTTAGCTTAAGAAATGAAAGATCTGCTAATAATTTAATAAATATTGAAATAATAAATGAGACTAGATTTACCATGACATTCTTCAATTTACTTGCAATGCTTTGTAGTTTTTGTTGATTGTTCATCACAGCCTCACGACAGGGTGGTTGGTACTAAAATACATTGTACAAAGTATTCACTCATGAAATGTTGAATCACTGCTTTCAATTACTTGCTAAAACCTCAACATCACCTACCAGAATCCAGAAGAGAAACTCAATAGCAGTTAATGGCAGAAGTTTATCGGACTTTGATCCAGTTTGCTTAGCTTGTGACTAGTAATGACAAAGACGGTCTTACATAAGCAAACAGGATAAAAACGTATAAAAAACTTTGAGTTGCTCCATACCTGATCACCAAAGCTGTTCCGTAAGCAAGAATCAATCATGTCGAGGACTTTTTCACCTTGTCCCCAAGAACAAAGGCAGTCCAGCATAGGWCCAAAGTCTTGTGAGTTTGCACCATCATKTAATGAGKATAATGCTGATAAACACCTCTTGCTAATAAGAAAACAAACAACAAAAAATGATATACTTGTACAGTGTATTACATTCAAGTCTTGTCATAAATGTTATTGTCTTTACAGTTTGAGTACTTTATTGTGCATATATAATACAATATTTACGGTACATCCATACAACATTTGCAACTTGAACATGACTTTCATATGCAGCAAAAAAACTGTTGTCTAATGTGTATAGTATAACACACCTGAATGTTGGCAAACAGTCAGCAGGAAGATGAGCAGAAATAACAATGATGGCAGCTCTTGCTCTGGCATCCTAATACAGTTATATATGTAAAGATGAGCATGAGTTTGGAAGATCTAATGTATAAATTATTATTTCAAAACAAWGATCACCTCAGTTGCTGTTAGAAGCTTTGGTAAAATCTTCTTGAAATGTTGTATAAGTTTGGATTTGATGCTTTCATTAGATGTCTGCACAATTAAGATAGATATTAAATAGATAAATAAATAAAAAATATCTTTTCATAATATTTTTCTCTTCCTATAATATAGTAGCTATKGCATGATTCATCAGATCAGTCACTTTCTCCAGACACAACTTGTATACACAGTTAAACGATCTCTAGACTTATGAAATATTAGCCTGAATCTGAATATATTGTACTGTAAGAAGTATATATATGTACTGTACCTTTTCTAACTGATCCTTGATTCCTGACCAGGAAATGGCGATGGTTTCAAGAATACCAGAGATGGTATCTATGTCAGGTAAAGTAAGGACAGCTTCACCTACTTCYTCAATGGTCTCATTCTCCTTGTTCTCACTTGGATCTAGAACTGGTATTAGAACTGGTATATGTTAACAAAATAATATCTCCAGGAAATCCAGGAATTTTCCAAACAGTTACCAGTACATCAACTTACCTGATGGGTTTAATGTACATGTATCATCCAATAAAAAGCTCTCAAAAGATGTATCTGGAGCTATGTTTTTGGCCCACTGAACTAGACACCGRCAGAGTAATAGGATAAATTTCCCTGAKGAAWCATGCAAAGAAATATTTTACAATGAACACATTTTTTTGTACTATCATAATTGGTTTTCATATTGAGATATAAAGGATTAAAACTACAAACGACAAAAAGTTACCAGTTGCTGRCACTGCAGCATGAAGATGAGCATACTGATAAAACTTGCGTGCAGCAACAGGATTTGCTTCCCATAAAGCTGCGCACCTTGTGATCTATGAATAAAGACAGCCATTTATTTTCAACTCACTAAGTTATGTACAATGTACAAGCCATCAGTAGTAAATTCCAAGATTCAATGTCAGTACCTGAACATCAGCTTCTTTGTTTAATGGGTGAAACGAATTCATAAGAAGTTTAACAAGTTTTCGCAGCACAGTAGCTGAAGTCTCCACCTCAAGGCAAGCAAGTAAATGCTCCAATGGCACAATGGTCCAGAACTAAAGAAAAAGAGTTATGCATCTAGATAAGAGTCTATGTAGCAACAATAAGTTAAAAAATCCCTTCCCTTCTTTAGAATTGTAAGCAACATTGAAACATACAACTAATATTAGTATTATGAAGTACATGTATTAAGAAATAATACAAGGCATTATTTTACCTTGATTGCTTTGATTCCTTTTACYAGAAGGAGGAGATCTAGAAAAGCTGATCTCACTTTCTCGGATACATCATGAATTAGATCACGCAAGTTTCCAAGGAGTGTTTTAAGTAATGGATGGCTAAGGTGATTTTCAAGAAGAAATTTGAGTCCCTTAAAAAGAAAAGCCAACCATTTAAAAAAAAAAGAAAGTTGAAGTTGCAAGTGTGAATTCAACATTTTTAAACCTGAAATACTGCTACTCGAACTGTACTTGAAGAAGAATCAAAAGCAACCTCAGAAATCTGTTGAGTAATATGAAAATACTTATTAACTATATTCTACATGAATCTTTCCTTGGTACACCTTCAAAGAAGTTTAATTTATGCTTGGATAACTAACCAATTTGTTMAGAAGAGCTTTAATTGYGTGGACTGGTATCAATTCCCAGAATACCCCAGTGATACGGCAGACTCCATGAACCCCAGTGGCTCTGACAATAGGGGACGGATCCTCAAATAAWCCCTATTGMAAAATTAATAATCAATACACTGATGCACATGACTGTATAAGAAGTGGTRGAATGAAAACAGAARCAGGTTTTTACCTGCAGGATATCAAACTGCTTTTGAAGAAGTTCGTCAGCCTGTTCATTGCTTGCCTCAGGGTTTTGTAAAGGGAATGCATCAATTAACAATGCAGAAGCATTTGCCCGAACCATTGGATTCGCAACCTATGTATAGTATTAGTAGAAAAATTGGTCACTTTAACCAAATTATCCATTTCACAATATTTCAATATAAATTATTTTTATTAAAATCACCTTAAATGCCCTCCATAAAATAGGTTGATAAAGCCTTATAAGCATTTCATCAACACCTTGTTGCTTCTTCTGTTGGTGCACATAACTCAGAACCTATCAAACAAACAGTATACATGTAGAAATTTATTAGTAACCAAGAATAATCTAGTACAGTAACCTAAGTAGTAAATTAGATCAACAGGAATACTTTGGAGCTTTAATTGCATACTTTTCGAAGTCTTGACGACATTGGTTGAACTCCAGTACGCTGCGCATGAACAGCTGCATACATAAGATCTTGAAAGCAATCTTTTTCTAGAACCTAATGAAAAAATAGAATATCATGATGGTGTATGTCTGAAACACTTGCTCATTCTTAATAATTATTATGTACTATAATAGAATGTATTATAGACTGACTTTTTCAGCCTACATGTCCATGTACATAATTTAAAATTATTATTTCTAAGATTTACCTCCAAGTATGGCCCAGATGCAACGCGCCATGCCCTGAAGTATATCTCTCCATATAAACTGAGAGTTCCACTGAAATTTATGAATGAAAAAAACACAGAGAATAGGACATTAACTGTAAATTTCATTCACATTTCATGACATCCAAATAAATATGGTTTACTGACTATTATAACCAATCTTACATTGAACAGTTAGGGATCTGGTTCTTGATGGTTTTGTGGAGCTCTTTGGAGAATTCAGGATGCATTCCAAAAAGAAAGCTCAAAAATCGACGACCCTTTAAGAAGTGAAGAACTAATTTATAGGAAACTGTAATGTACATATTGTACAATTTAAACAGAAATAATAAAACAGTGTAAAACACATYAAAGAAAAACACATACTTCTTCGGCACGGAGAAAAGTRGGATGGATCATGGACTGCTGAAGTAGCTGCTTTAATGGTTCAGCACTGTCATCTTCCAAATCCATTAATAACAAGCTATGTCTTAAACCCCAAATCCTTTTCACATCACCAATCTTATGCAAAAAAAAGAAATTAATCATTCCCATTTTGTAGAATCAATTTCTTTATGAAATCCTTTACTTACAGTGCCTTTTGCAAGAGTTCTGATCACAAGGAAGGGAAGTGTGTTTGTGACAAGTTCTTCTTTTCCTTCTAATCCATTTATGAACCTTGAAAAACATATCAACCAGCAAGTTATTTGTTAAAAACTTGAGCACTGCTGTTATTCTTGATAACAAGCATTTAAGATTTGAGCGGAATGAMTAAAATAAAATCTATAATCACCATGTATCACAGAGTTGTGCAATTCCATTTTGAACTTTCTGTGTTTCATCTGGTATATTCATCATAACGCCTTAAAATAGAGAGTACAAACAATGTATTTTTTAATGTATATTTATCTTTAATGTTGCCAAAAATATTATGATGTACTGCAATACCGTGAAGAACTACAGCTGTCTCCAGAAGTGAAGCAGGAATGTAAGGTTTATCCAGTGTTATTGCACAAAGCCCAACTGTAGTGACACCTTGCAAGCATACCAGTAAACTTGACATTTTCTAACAAAACAAAAATATCARTACTGCTATCTGAGAGATGCATTTCAGTTTCTCAGCGCCAGTAAATGGGTCAACGATAAACAGCCTTTAATAATAGAGAACGAGTAAAAAGGAAAAAAAGATGGCTGACCAACAAATACAAACAAACAGGCCTTCCATGCGTGCGCATGGTCTGGAGAAACATTTGTAGAAATTATAAAACATATTGAATKGCCRAAAAGCATTTCYMTACCTCATTGCTCTCCTCTTCYTCCTCGTCTTCTATGCTTGGTGCTGCCTTGAGTATAGCATCATTACACAACCTCTTTATCTCATCCCATAATTTCTCATGTTGCTTCTTTGACAAAGTCTGTAACACTTCTGTTATTTCAAATGGATCATTTTTGGAGTTCTAAAATAAGGTAATTTTACAATTAATAAATTAGATTGAAATTTGATTTAGCAGTTGTCAATGAGGACTGATGCAAAGGGAGAAGAATATTGATACCTTATAAATWCAATTTTCGAAAGATCTGCATCATGCCTRCAAATATTTTTAATGCAACTATGAACTTGATCTTGATCTCATCATATGATCGAAAAAAATAATTATCACATTAATTTGTAGATTACTCTAAGATGTCAAGACCTAGCTTGCTAGACCAATAAACTACCAATAAACTTTAAGTTTAATAAGCTTACTTTCATTTGTTTATAAAATTTGAATTCAAACTTACGTGTTTTTCAATGTAATTCAGAAAGGATTGTGGTTCTTCCTCTTCCAAAGCACTAAGGAACTCTTCCCTAACATTCATCCTTTCGTATTCTCGAAGTATTACCAAAATATTACCACAAAATGACTTTACAATCAACCTAGCTTTCAAAACATTTGGTCTGTAATTTTGATCAACGTTTGCGCGCCAAAAATACAAGGAGATCACGTGGTTGTTGATCACATGTTTAGGCGTTCTTATCCAGCGTGCACTGCGCGCCCATTCAAAGAACAAAATGGCGGTGAGAAAGAAAGACGGCTTGCCGGACTTCAAATACTATGARTCGCTTGAAACTGCTTCGCTGTTTGAGCCTGTTAAGCAGTTCTTGCTAAAGAATCACAAAAAGGTGATTATTTCATACTGTTAGATTTTGTTATTACTAAGTGTACTTGGTCTTTTTCGTGATGACATTTGTTCATGTGTTGATCAAATTCGTGTCTAGATCGTTATTGTTTTGTTTATTTTGTTACATTTGGGTACATTTTTCGTTCTAGTATGTCCAAGCTGAGCCACCGACCAACAAAGTACTTGCTTCTCTTGTTGCACAACTCCTTCAATTTCAAGAGGTAAGTTTATGTGATTGATTTTAAAAAGTACTCATATTTCTCACGGACTGACAATGAAACTTTTGACTGATTTCTTTGTACTATAAATAATATCAAACAAAATATAGATGTTATAGAATTGGGTATAATCTTTAAATTTAGAAATAAATTATTATCAATAACGTCAATACCCATATAAAATATATCAGACAATCATAAGATGCATAAACATATGATTCAAATTGGTCTTCCTGTGTCGTTTCTTATACATAAAGTACATGTACATATTCTCTTTTTACACTTTTTTGCAGGAAAACTTTGGACGTACTGTTTTGAAACCACTTTTGACAAAACTACCAGTAAGTGCTACCATTGTAATAAAAATTATTTGACATGAATAACAAAATATTGTTCTTTATGTGACTTTGTAACTGTCAACACATGCACTTACAGTATGCCTGGGTTTTTCAAGCCAAAAGACTGAAAAAATTGTGTAGAGATGTTTGGTGAAAYCTTTATATTTTCAGAAACATGTCCATTCACTTTGGGATTATCAAGGAAAAAAAAATCAATTGATAAACAATGCTTGCCTGTCCATTTCAAACAATTATTTCATTTGCTTGTTAGATGAAACTTTTCCAAGACTTTTCAGCTGGTGGAGGACTATGCACAATATTTGCTACTGTTTATAAAACAAAGACAGAGCAAGGATGGTAAGATTACCTGGAATTGAGCATGAATGGTTTCTTTGATTGCTAATAAAATGGTGCTATTTGTAGGAGGAGATTTGACTTTCAATCACCATCAAGAATGGACAGGAACGTTGAGCTTTTCTTGAATATTGAGAAATCTCTGAAAGAGGTACAGAAAGTCTTAAAAATCCTGCGAAAATGTTTTCTAAAAGGATAATATTACATGTTCACAGTAGCTCTTCAAATTGGTTGTTTTACTGTGTTTTCATATATTTTCAGAACAAGCTTCTTGATATGCCACAGTTATTTTTCGCACCTGATGTTGATCCAAGATTGATTCCAAGTCTTAAAGACATTGCAAAACGGCACAATGTAAGTTATTTAATAAATCAAAACATCTATATACATGTAGAGTTATCCTTGTATTTGGCAGTTCACAAGTACAGTACGATACATGCTTAAAATAATCTAAAATCAATATTCACAGGCAACTGTTGTTGAAGACAGATCATTGGCTACTCACATTGTACATGGACCTCCWCCTCCAATGCCTGAAGGTTTATCAATGACTCAGTCATTTGTTGACATTGTCTTTGCCCAATTTAATCTGTGATTTGCTATTATTTTGACAGAGGATTGGCTGAGRCCACTAAAAAAACAAGCTGACCAAGTCCTTGTACATTGGTGGTATTATCCTGATAGGTTTGTATTCACATTTGCTTTACTACTAAGTACATTATTAGTTTACATGTACTTCTAGTTAATTGTTGCTGGATAGTGTACTGGAGTTAAACTTTTTTTGAGTTTATCATGTCTCGTACTAATAATGAAAACTCAAAATTTGTGGGATTTTGTTTGTTTCAGGGCATATTAAAAAGACATTAAACTCATTACCTGTATTGTACTATACTGTTTTTAATATTGTATATTGTTTATTATATCTTAGTTATGATACTTGGGTGTCCACTGGTGATGTTGTTGATGAACCACAAGAAGAACCAGTTCATCGAGGTCCTTGGGAGGTACATACACTCAGTCTAATACAACTGTTAAGATTAAATTGTATAACTGGTTTCGCATGTGTATTATACACCTAATTGAAGAAACGTTGTCGGGTCCAAAAAGGTCAAATCATAGAAGCTAAGACCGAAAGGGTACTTGGGAAGACAAACAATTTGGCTGATTTCATACAAACAGCTCTCCAGCATAAAAGACTAGCATGCTGTTAATCTTACTAGCTCTAGCTACTTGATTTATGGTGCACGTATATGCAAATGTAATCCCAATTTAGTGGTACTCAATCCCTTTCGGTCTTAGCTTCTATGATGTGACCTTTTCGAACACGACTACGTTTTTTCAATTAGGTGTATACTCAAGATATGGTTGTGCAGTATATTATAGTTATGATATTTGATAACTGTAGGTGAATGCTCGCTGGTTAACAGACTTGGATCAGTTCAATGAATGGATGAATGAAGAGGATTATGAATTAACTCAAGCTGAAATAGAGGTACAGTACGCCATATACCCTGGCATTGTTTGACAATCCAGATTTATAATTAACTGTGCTATTTTTATTTTCTTTAGAGTGGTAGTGTAGGTGCAACATCGCCATCACATGGTAAGCTTGTTGCTCTGTCTTGAATGTACATGTAACTGTAAAAATGTATTAATGGGCTGCCATGTAGAAATAACACAACTTTTATATTATTTTGCAGGGAGAAGGAAAAGTTACCGAAGTGGTGCATCAAGCTCAGARGAGGTATTATACCTAATACTTTAGTTCTGAGATGTAGTAGACAAATGATTACAGTATAATTAAACATTATACATGTATATGAAGTGACTKTTTTTTATTGTTTCCATATAGCCCTCCAGCCCAGACTCTGGTAAGTAATAAGTGATAATGTTACTTCATTRTTGCAATTTAGTCCTAATGTCATCTAATGACACATTTCTTGTTGCGATTTAAGCTATGAAAGCAAAGAAAAGGAAGCGTAGTCCATCACCTGATCCAAAGAAGAAAAAGAAAAAGTAAGCAATAAGGGGAAAGCGTTTTTTCATCTGATCTATTTCAGTGCTTACTTGYTTATTATATTGTTTCAATTTGTATTTTTATTCTCATTCATTCCCATTTGTTTAATATTTTTCTTTACTTATGTATTTGTAATTGTACTTTTCTCAGCATTTTGCCAGGAAAACCGCCAGGAATAAAGGAAGAGGAAGGGTTAGTAATGATTTAATCCTGTGTTAGCCACCATACAGTTAGTGTTT